ATCCTGGGGTGCATTAAGAGGAGTGTGGCCAGCAGGTCGAGGGAGGTTCTCCTCCCCCTCTACTCTGCCCTGGTGAGACCCTACCTGGAGTACTGTGTCCAGCTTTGGGCTCCCCAGTTCAAGAAAGATGAGGAACTCCTAGAAAGAGTCCAGAGGAGAGCAACTAGGATGATAAAAGGACTGGAGCATCTCCCCTATGAGGAAAGGCTGAGAGAGTTAGGCTTGTTCAGCCTGAAGAAGAGAAGACTGAGAGGGGACCTCATCAACACATACGAATATCTTAAGGGTGGAAGTCATGAGGATGGAGCCAGACTCTTTGCAGTGGTGCCCAGTGACAGGACAAGGGGCAATGGGTACAAACTGAAGCATAAGAGGTTTCAGTTGAATAAGAGGACAAACTTCTTTACTCTGAAGGTGACAGAGCACTGGAACAGGCTGCCTAGGGGGGGTGTGGAGTCTCCTTCTGTGGAGATATTCAAAGCCCACCTGGATGAAGTCCTGTGTAAAATGCTCTAGGAGAACTTGCTTTAGAAGGGGGGTTGGACTAGATGATCTCCCGAGGTCCCGTCCAACCCTTGCCATTCTGTGATTCTGTCATTCTTTTGGTGCAAATCTAAAGCAAGTCACTGATCTGCAAAGAGTTACCTGGAATTACTACTTGTTAAAAAAAAAAGGAACAAATTTGGCTTGCTATATTTCCAAACACCATTTTTCAAAGTGCTAAAATTAGAGACTACCAAGTCTATCCACCCTCTCCCTGAATTTAGAGAGATTTCCATAGACAGATTTCCACAGACATAGCAATTCATACTGGGCCTTCTGGTTTCCCCTGCTTGCTCCTTAAAGTGTTTTGGGCCCTGACATAACCGTCACTACTGTCAGTACCAGCAGACTGAATGTTGCTATAGAGAGGAGAGTGAATAGCAGGAAAGAAAACCGTGAAAGTACTCCATACGAAAAAACAAACAAACAAACAACAACAAAAAAAACCCCAAATGCAGAAATTAATTCCCATCACTAGTCACAACTGTTTCAATATTCTATCTGCTTTTGTGTCAACAACATTTTTCCCTGGGAAACAAGACTATCATGAATGCTTATGTGTACCAGACTTATGTAAGGATTTTCGTCACATACTATTTTCTTCTTTGTACCATTCATCCAATCTGTCAGACCATAAAACTCCCTACAGCTCTGGTGACCAGCCATTCTCCATGAATGCAGTCAAGTCTAATGTTTTCCACTGTGACTACACCTGTAGCTTTCTGTATTGTTGAATGAAGAGCTGGAGGGACCAAGTTTTAACATTTTTGCAACTACACTGTGGTCTTTTTTTTGTATGGCATTGTATTCAGATTAATGTCAGCTGTCTGCTTGGTTGTGGGAAGAAAAAAAGAAGAAAAGAAGTTAAGAGAAATAATCTGTTTCAATACTAATCTTTAGTGCTGCTATCAGATGTTGCTTTCCTATGGTAATACTTTCAGCATTCTTCATAACAATCATGACTTGAAATTCTTTATATCTCTTCTGCAACTGTTTAGTGGCAATCCTTGCTTTGAATTAGGGTGAAATGCACTATGAACAGCAACTTCTCTTAAAAATAGTCATTGCAAGTAACTCAGAGACTGATTTTTTTATGAGCTTAATAAGCCTGCATAAGGAGACTGCAAGACTGTTCGTGGGCAGCTGGCATACAGAAAAAGTGGCTGCACCAATTTACCTTTGTCCTTAGAAGATCATTCAACTCCTAAATATTATTAATACATAACATTCACTACATATTTACTCTCAGGTTCTTGCACTCAAAGTTCTGATTTAAAATAGGCTTTTCAGAAACTTCAAAGATAGCAGGTAAAACAAAGACTGAATTAACTTTTACTGCTGAGTAAAGTCAGAAGTATTAAGATGCCAGAGTTTGTAAGGGGCATACTATTAAGGAAACTCTTTGGTGGTTATGATGCATATATTATTGAGAGTCAAAGAGGTTGGTTTAGCTGTATTTGAAATAGAAGCACAGCAGTGGGCTTAAAGCAAGATCCCCAGCAGCTTTTGCAAATTAACATGTGTTCCTGAAATAAAGCATGACCTGTAGACTTCAAACTTAATCAGGTAGAGAGGTTGTTTGTGTTTCTGCTCTTAATATTCAGTGAGTTTTCTGGCATATCAATAACTTAATTCATAGATAAGATGAGCACAGTAATATGTTTCTCATGTCTTATCAGAAAATTGATATATTTAGAGACTTCTGAAAAAAAAAACCCAAAAAACAGCTGAACTGCCTGTCTCTTCAAAAACAGAAATGAATTATTTTGAAACCTGTAAAGAAATTACACTTCCATAAAAATAATTTAAAATAGTAAAATTTCAAGGTGAGAAAATATGTAATGTGATACATTTAATTTCACATCTTTATGGTCTTTCTACAGACTCTCTTTTTAAAATTAAGCAAATTCTACATGATTTTGCAGTTTCTCTTTATCTTATCTTCCTTTCAGCACCACTGAGGAATTTAATCTGAGTAAGAACTGTGGAGCAGGAGTAGGAAAAGCATTCCAATGCCATGAACATTTCTACTAGATATGCAGCGGAAAGCTCTGGGGAATGTTCTATTAAAAAAAAAAAAAAAAAGAAGAGGAAGCAAAATGTAGTAATCACAGCAATTGGAGTAAAAATTATATAGTTCACATACTGAAAAGTAGTTATTCATATACAAATGCAAATACATTTTGTGCATACTTATGGATCTGCAAAAGACTGAAGATCATTCTCTCACAAAAAACCGTCAGGTACCTGCTCGTTCTGAAGTGCTTTGAGATCATTTGATATAAACTGTAAGAGATAAAAATAATTAACTTCTTCAATTTATACTGACTGCATGGTCACTCATAGAAGCTGTATGAATTTTAAAAGGAATATCATACCACAGTGACATTATATTGTAAACCTGGAGCAATGAAATGCAAGTGATTCTCTCACTGTCTACAAGTTACAAAGGTTAATTGATATTTTTTCTTTTTTGTAGACACGGATCTAGTTTTAAGGAGGGATATATATGGTAATTAAGATAAATGAACTGCCTGTTTTCTTAGTAGCCCAAAGGATAAGTAATTTTTCGCCACAAGTTTTTTTCACAGGGCACCAAAGAATGTATTAAACTGCCATTTGCAGTCTTGGACAATGTTGTCCTGCTTCGTGCAGGCAAGAAA